CGTACGATTTCATACGAACTCATAATGAGAATACACTGGTCTATTGGAGCCACCTCTCCATTGACGGATGAGTGCTCTAATTACCACAGTGAATACTTGTATTTCTCCAGTTTCTCATGTTTTATTTCCAGATTTTAACATCATTGGGCATGACCAGATCATTTACTACGGGTGTCCTCTGCTGCTTATCAATGATCCCAATGTCCAGTAGGTTGGCCATTGTAGTAGTTTCAGTGCCCTAATGTTAATTAATAAATTGCTTTTGTAAAACCAGTACAATGGCGTCAAATGTTTGTTCAAATAAATGACTAAGTATCAGAAAGGATTGTTCATCTGTTTCAGCTGCTTTGCTGCTGATGAAATGAAGAATAGAAATTTATATGAGGACCCATTGAAAGGAAGCTGCCAGTGACGAGGAAGCTAGTCCAACACATTCAACAGATGAATGCCAGTTCATCTTGAGATTATGTTACAGCTATAAAAGAGTGTGGAGAAGCTGTGGAGAGTTTCATTTCTGCATCTTGGTTGTTTTTTTGTTTTGTCTTTCCAGCAATTAATTGTTATTAAACAGTCAAAAGTACAGAGCAATGAAATGAACTCTTTGCATTTAGCACAACCCCTTGGGGAGAAGTGGAATGCCATAGTGCGGTGCCCGGGAAGCAGTGTGGGGTTAAGGCTCTTTGCTCAGAGTGGCAGTCTGTGGGAGTGGGGCTGGAACTCAGAACCCCAGGAATCCAAGCGCAACGCTCTTACCACTAGGCTGCCACTCCCCAAAGAATGTTCAGTAATTATCGGGGGAAGGAAAACCTTCAAGAGATTTAAAAAACAAGAAAAACTCTAATGAGGTTGTGTTTCACCGACAGCCTATCTGTCATTACGAATTGAGATGAAATTCTTGGACACATTGGCAGATCCCATTGTGGAGAACCAAGTCTATAGTTTCCTCTTAGTGCACATCAGTGCTCTGCCTTGTATGGTAATGTTTATTGGAGGAAAAAGGAGCTCAGAACACTTATAGGTATCTACATCTACTGTAAAACAACACTTTTGGTGATGATATATCACCCAACAGTTCCAGGCTGCAAAATTTAATAATACCCTGGTCTTTATCCTCAGCAGTACACCATCAACTGTGTCGTTATGACATTTCCTCATGGTTTTAGGTATACAAGCAGGTGAGAGTGAAACAATTACCAAGTACAAGTGGTTGCAGTGAAGTTTCATAAATATGCAAAAGATTGCTGCAACTTTATTCTTTCTTTGAATACGGCCCCCAAAAGGTACATACTTTCATTTTCAATAAATATAGTAACTTTTGTCTCCAAACCTACCACCAAGTAAATTCAACTAAGACATTCACAATAACTTTGGTTCAAAAGGATCACATTTTTAAAATTTTCCTTTTAAACTGTAATATATGGTGTATTACCCAATGGTGCATCTAATTCATCTGTACTAACACAAGTATAATTATGTATGTCTACTTAGACATACTAAAAGCACCCAAAATGAAAAGGAAAACTCACCGAAAAGCTGTAGCTCCGAATCTGTTCATAATCTAGTGGCAAGGCAACCCTCACACGGATGTCGGCACGCCCTTGAACCGCTGTGGGGGAGATGGTAAAGTATTCCGAATTGTTTCCAGTCAAAAACACCTGGAACATACTGTTCACCCCCTGCCGAAAAAAAGATAGAAAAGAAGGACATTTCAAAATTGAAAAACAGATAAAAAAAAAAAAAATGAACTCTGGACATCAAAGTCAAATAATTTCTAGTATTTTCTGTTGGTGAGTATTCTTGAACTGTCAACTACAACAAATTCATTCTCTGATCATGATATACCACTTTCTACTTTCCTTGGGAACATAATCCCATAAACAGACATTTTAGAACAAATCATGTTTCGAGATTGGATCAATCTCGTATATGTTGATGTTGATGACAATGTCTTGTTCAATTAGCGTGCAGTGTTTACTAAGAGTGTTCTAGTCTATCTCTAGACAGGCAACATATTCTCATTATCAGTTCGTATGAAATCGTACAAAAAGTTATGCACAGTATTTCGTGGGTTTTTGACGTTTTTCCTCGATTGCGCATGCACAGCCAGCCAGACGAAAAAAGCAGATCAGCAGACGGGCGTAAAACTGGGACGGACGAGCTTTCCACAGTGCAATAATTACTTCATGATGTCTCTCACTAGGTTGCTTGCTGTTTTGTATGTTAGGGTTAGGGTTAATTGTATGTTAGATTGTATGTTATTGAATGGTGCGTAAGATGCGCATGCACACTGATATCTTGTCTCGAGGCAAGACGTAAAAATACGACGAAATACGATGAAAAAAAAACACGTCAAAAACCTACAAAATATTGTGCATAACTTTTCGTACGATTTCATACAAACTGATAAAGAGAATACACTGAGACAGGTCTACACACAGATCCATCATTTATCATGGTTGGACACCGTTCCTCTTTGGATAATCTCTACTTGTAGAGAGTTCTAGTTCCTCACTTTTCACCTCATATCTACAGGATTTTTGTATGATTGGACACTGGGAGTGAGATGACCATAAAAAAGGATGTCTTTTGCCTTATGTCATGATTATCTTGGTTTTTCAAAGGGTAAAAGATGCCAGGCACTCCCACAACCTTCCCAGGGCAACAAGGAAATGGGGCAATTGCACCACAGAATCTCCACCATGCTTATCGATCGGTATTGCTGTCATCACTCCTGGCTTGTAGAAAATGTCTAATGGCTGTTATGGGAGTAAATACAAGGGGGTCTCTAAGGGTCTCTACTGCTAGAGACCCTTTGAGACCCTTCCCCTCAAACACCAGATGTCATTTAGACCGGAGGTCTTCAACAGGGGGCCCGTGACCCGTAGGGGAAGTACTGCATGGGGGTCGCAAAAGTTTTGGTTGATTAGACTTTTTTTTTATATTCCCCCCTGGAATTCTTTTTCCATTAATTGAAATGTCTTTAAATTCACATTAACATGAATTCAACACATTGTAATAAACAGATAAATGGAGGTAGAAGATATCTTTCAGTCATCAATGCACACAGGAGCTCTTTCAAGCTGGGCACCGTTTCATTCACAACATCTGTCCCATCAAGAAGGAATCAGAATCAGACTTTAATAATCCCAGGGGGAAATTACTATCGTTACATGACACTATATGAAATAGACTGACTATAGGACCAGTTTGATATTACACAATTTCATGCAATATATATAAATAGGGGGTCCCCGCTCGATCTGGCCATCAGTTTGGGGGTCCTTGGCCTGGAAAACCTTGAAAACCCCTGATTTAGACATTAGTTTTTATGCAAAATCTGGTCGGTCCGTCATGGTCTTGATTTAGTCCAGAAAATACATGGTGAAAATTGGGCCGTATTTGGTCGGTCTGATTTTATCCCACTTTGGTCCATTAAAAGACATTGAAAACTGGGTTTTCAACATCCTTTCAACAATCTGAAAATTATGGCTTTCCCCCCCTTCACCTTTCAACCAATGTAGATGTTTGGGCGTAAATCATGTCGTCTTTTAAACCAATTTTTGATCAGTGGGTTTCTTACCTCTAATGCCTTCCTTCTAACTGTGTTTGTGTAAGTCTTTATCCAACCTTGTTTCTCACACTTTCATTTGTTATAAACATTTTAATTATGACTCTGACTGCAGGTATGTGCAGGTTTAGTGGAGTGATTTGTTTTCCTGTAGTCATTTCCTTACTTATGATCAAAACATGCATTTATTGTCTGAATGAATTCTGCACAGGTGGCAGGGCAGTTTGCATATGTTTATTTGCTAACACAATACATAAATACAATGCAAAGCAAAAGAGACTGCAGAAATGCATTAAACATAAAGCTATTAAAACATGTGGCCAAAAGTTGTCATCCTGAACAGATATTTAGCTTAGCTGCGAGTGCTATGCTTTTTCCAAAACATAAAATGGGGTGCTACATATAATAAACTCCAAACATTATCCACAAATATGTTTAAATAACTTTGAGAAAAATATGGCCAAGCTGGCCGAGGCTGTTAAAACATGGAGCTTTAATCATTGTATTTTATGACTTATACGCAGAAAAAAAACGTTGATATGAATACAGATGACAACCATGACTATCTTCCCCAATACAGATACATTTTTCTGCTTTTGCGTTCCAGCTGACACAGGACAAGTTGCCAAGACAATGTTTATGATATGCAGATTATCTGAACTGAGAAGTCTGTTAAAATATGTGAACTAGTGGGCTGGTGTTTAGAATAAGATCAGTACTGTTTGATTAGTGTTTATATCTGAACAACATTTAGGATAAAAAAAAACTCTTTCTCTTAAGCCTCCTTCGAACAGAACATTTAAAGAGGGAGAGCATCACTGGGAAATCTGAACCAATTTAAGGAGTGACATCACAGCACTGAAAAACCTCTCACTGTCTTGAGGTAAGAAACCTTTGCCAGAGCACTCCTGTGTTTGATATATAAAGCTGCAGGGCAGCCAATCATGCAGTCATTGTGGTGAACAGAGGGAGACGAGTGGAGTGGTCGGTTGGCATTATGCTGACAGTTCAAATAGCCCCCTTGTTTTTGTTTTCAGCTCTGGGAGAACCATTGTAGCTGATGGCTCCTATTTAAAAGACCATCCAATATGCAGGGATGTCACTTCAAACTGGCCATAAACGTAATTGCCCGTCCATTTGCTATTGCCTCTAGAAGCCCCCAATAAAAGCATCCTGTCAGACACGGCTGCCACAAAGTTCAATGACAAGTTCTGGCAGCAAAAGTTTTAAAGATGCCAGCCGAGCAGAAAGAATCACAGAGAGAGCGAGAAGAAACAATGCGAGTGAGACAGAAATTAAACGTCTCTTTGTATTTCCTCACACTCACAAAAAGTGCTGAGCACTGGGTTGCAAACCAGTGTGTGAGTATTTTAAAACCACAGACAGTTTTCAAGACGATAACATCTAAAAATCTGCTAAAAAAAATGATTATTTTTAAAATAACATGCATGGCCAGGAAGAATAGATACAAGCTTTACATCTATATCAATAACAGCATTGAAGCTAGCTGAAGAGCCCTTGGTTACCCTGAAGGAGGCTTAAAGATACACAGCAAAGGTGGAAGAATCCCCACATTTAACACCTATCAGTAAACTACACTCTAGATACGGCTTTAATGTTAGAGCTACAAGGACAAGGCCGCTGTTGAGAAAAGATAAAGATACAAATTCCCGTTTCCAGCTTGGCACAAGTTATGTAAATTATAGCAAGTCTTGAAAAGGGAACTCAGGTCAAATTAATCCAAATTATATGGTTTAAAACAGGGGTCTTCAACGTTTTCCTGGC